AGGGGAGATAGATGCACCCAATCATACACTGTAGGCATATAAATGATGTCACTCAGCTAAACTGCATGTCCAGAGTAGTTGGGGGATTCCCACCTGATATGGTGAGAACATGCACACCCCCCCCCCCCCTCAAACCCACAGCCCCGGTGGTATGAGTGTCAGTGCCAGTATCCACTCTGCCACTCTTCTAGAATATATTACTGTAGTAAATGTCCACACCACTCATATTTGTAGCACTATAGTTCAAGAGTGTTTGTGTGGCCAATTTAACCACAGTTTTGATTTTTTTTTTCAGAAGCTTTTTAAATTCAGGGTTCTTTTGGTAAATATGTTCTAATTGTGATGTCAATGTTGTTACTGGAGGCATATCTGACTTTCGGAGTGTTAATAATAAAACTTTAAATCAAGCCCATTTTTAGGTGCTGTAACATACTGGTCATTGATGATAACTGAGGCCAGTGCTACATTAAAAGTAATTTGAAGTGATTAGAAAATACTGATTTATCTGCCATTTGATTTGGACCTTTTTGCCAGAAATAAATTAGAGGGGAACTAGATTTAGAAAGATATTCAGCCTGTGATTTCAGATCACATGGCTGATGTCTGTGTAGTGCTCTAGTCTTCAGTAAATTTCCTGATTCTCTCCAGTGAGGACTGAGCCTCATATATATGCATATATCATATACCGTCATACACCAAAATCATATTAAATTCATGCATATATGATACCCACAACCATACAGCTACATATTATATTCATATATATTATACACACTGTCAAACACCAACATCACAAGGTCAGTCAGCTGCCCTGGAGCATTTGAGGTTCTGGGTCTTGCTCAAGTGTCAAACAGTGATATCCTTACTCTGCTGGCTAAAAGATGCTATGAGAACACAGGCCCAGATTCCTACCCACTGAGCTGCACACCTACATACATCCCATGCCTCTCACCTGGTCCCTCATTACATGGGACGTGTTCTCACTGAGGTCCAGCCCCGTCGCTTGCTCATCCGCAGGCCCCAGCAAGCCGCCCACGTCGGCTTTAGTCTGCCTCACCATCCTGTGGCCACTAGAGGCATTCTCCGTGTGACCCACGGGAAGGCTAAGGGCAGGGGGGAGAACATGGGGGTGGGGTCAGACTCATGGGCTTCACACCAAACCACATGATCACAATGCGATCAGGCACTTACCTGGGCAGCCCGCCATCAAACAGGGGCGGCTCCCCCGGCTCGCAGTCCGAGGCTGGCTGCTCGGGGTCAGACAGGCCAGCCACCGGAGCATCACCAGGGGGACCCTCTGATAGGCTGAAGGGAGGGAAGGGAACACCAATCACGGCAAAGCCACAGGAGGGGCGGGGCTTAGGAGCTTGTCTAAAGTCAAACCGCAAAGTCACCAGTGTTCAAGTGAAGGGCACTAATTAGCTTGCGTTTCCCTCTACCTCATCAGCTAAGGCTCACCTAGCGGGAGTCGCAGGGAGGGCTTGCGAGGACAGCCTCCCAGAGGCGTCCCAGCCATCTTCAGCCACGTCGTCGGCAGAGACAGGAGCCCCCTCCGGGGCAGCATCGTATCCAAGCACCAGGATCCCCTCAGGGTCCGAATTTTTTTCCGTTTTGTCGTCTGTTGCTGGTTCCTCAGAATCAACAACCTGAACCAAATGTAATTGTGTGAATTAGATTTAAATCACTCAGCCCTGGTTAATAAGGAGCCCAAATCGACTGGAACAAATCAACACTCTGTCCATCAAACCAATTAACCCTTCAACGTGGACTAGAAGGCAAAAATCACCAATAGGTGGCAGCAAAGGACAAAAACACTGACCATCACCTGGTCCTTGTGTGAGGAATCCTGCAACAGCGCCTCCCCTAGGGCTGCTTGACGCTCCGCAGCCAGCCCCACCTCATAGGATGAGCGTGCATCCGCGCCCTGGGCCGTGTCCTCCTGCGCACAGCAGCATGTTAGCTGTTAGCATGTATTACGCTTTCATCCAGTACAGGGAAAGAACACACAGAGCGAAGGTGGGATTTGAACCTACACCCCCGGAGATGTGAGGCTGCAAACCACACCAAAGTAAAAACCGAAAAAGACCTTATCATCCAGGCTGCTCCCTGACTCCAGCGGCGAGCCGCTGGCCTGCGGAGACGGCCCCGGCACACGGGGGACCTCTTCTGCACAGGGGACATCACCATCACTGCACCTGGAAGGACGGGGGAAAGTCAAAAAAGAGGCAGGTTAGAGAGAGACCCACACACACAAACCCCGGTTAAGAGTGAGGGTTCAAAAACTCTCCCAGGGCCGATTTCACGGCACCACATGTGGAGCGAAAACACCGTACAGTACACACACCAGGGGGCGCCCAGAATCTGCGCACGACAAGGGAGCCCGTCATCCCCAGCAAGGAACCGCGAGGGGTAAACAAAGCTTAGGTAGTGGGGTGACCCAAATTCAGTCAGAGAGTGTCGGTACAGGGTGGAGATTGAGGGCAGGGAAGCAGAATCCAGCATGCGGATGGGATGGGGAGGATTCGGAGGCAGTATTCAGTGTGGGGGGGTCGGAGCAAGCAGTACGGCATTGTGTGTGACGTGGCTCCCAGTTACAACACACAGCAAACAAGCCTCAGACGTGAGTCAGCAGCCGCTCCCACGTGCTACTTCGGCACAAGCACTCCGCCCACCAAGAGCTCACATTGGCTGACTCGCCCCAGTCTCCGCCCCTCAGATACATACGGCAGCCAGGATAGGCTCCAGCCAAAGAGAAAGCAGGAAAGGCGGGGCAGGGTCAGGAATGGGGTCGATCCTGTCCTGTGCCACGCCACAGCTTAACATCACAGCTATGCAAACAGGGACAGACCTGTACGCAATCAGGGCGACCGTGAGCTCATCCTGACTCCAGCACAGCTATCACGGGCTGCCATTCTTATCAAAACCACTGTTTACTCACGACTTACATTCGTGTGCATTCATGCTCAAAAGTTGCATTATCTCCTGTTTTGCAACCCCTTGCCTTTATCTTCAGAATCTTTCAGTGTCCATCAATCCGCAATCATTTAAAATGCAAATTAATGAGTGAAACTACAGCCTTTAAATCCTTCACAGGCTATTTCTGCAGTTTTGTGGGTAGATTCGAGAATAACCCCCCCCCCTCATTAATAGGCTGATCTAGGCATAACCCCGCCATTCATAGGCTGATCTGACCAGAAAGAATAATGTCTGCCCCCAAGACGGAAGAAATATCAATTTATACCTGAACTGATAAAACTAAAACTGACAGTTAAAAATAAGAAAAATTGCAACTATACATAAAAACAAGTAACACATAGATGCATGAATCTGATAAAATTAACAATGCAAGTATTTAAGAAGCATAATTGGTCAAAACATTATGTCATATCACTGCTGTACCCTACACCTAACACGTCTCCTCCAATCAGACAGCATGAGCTCTGTTCCTCAAAGTGTGAACCACATGCCTCCACCGAAACCTTCACATTTATCAGGAACCCCAGTCGTCTCAGTCAAAACTGATCAAACTCCAAATTTAGAATATAAAAAAATTATGAAGAAAGTATTTTTGCAAATGAAACTCTCGTGTCTGTTTTCATTAAGTAGGCCATCTTCATTTTATTATTTTTTAAAATCCTCCGATTCCAACAGCAGAGACTGCAGCATACAGCGTGCTCCTCGCCTAACTGAACACTTTACATCCCATACTTGCAGCTATTTGCCTGTGAACCCCCCCCCCCCCCTATTTAAGCCACCATGCTCCCCAGCTCTGTGCTCCTTTTGGCCATAATCACCCAAACCCTGCGTGTCACGCCAAGCTGCCCCTCCCCCGCCACCGGGGCTGCTGGGTAAAAACACAGATATTCTCCAAACAGCCCGAAAGTCAAGCCATTTATTAGATTGGGGTTTCATATTAAGGAGTGACGTGTTTTATTACACTCTATGAATGGAGAATGCTAGTTTAAAAATGCATATCCATTAGATGCTTTCAGAGTTGAATGCTGATCCTATGTGAAATCAGAGTGAATGTGAATTATGTTAATGATGTGAAGCAGCAGAAAGACACAGACACACACAGAGATACAGACACACACAGAGATACAGACACACACACATATAGACAGAGACACACAGACACACACAGATACAGACACACAAATACAGACAAAGAGACACACAGACACACACATATGCAGACACACAGACACACACAGATACAGACACACACATACAGACAAAGAGACACACAGATGCACACACACACAGATGCAGACACACAGAGACACAGATACACACAGATACAGACACACACATACAGACAAAGAGACACACAGACATACACAGACACACACATATGCAGACACACAGACACACAGAGATGCAGACACACAGAGACACAGATACACACACAGAGATGCAGACACACAGAGACACAGATGCACACACACAGATGCAGACACACAGAGACCCACACCTGTTTCCCATTTAACCAAGGAAATTCCAGGGCTGAATGTTAAAAATACTCCTTGGGATGCATTCAGAAGCAGACAGTTATAAATGGAAATAAAAATGGAAACACAAGGCAGTTACTGTGCAGCTCTCTGCAGAGTGATTTTTCAGTATGTTGCATGTTGTGTGCTGCGAGTGGCTGGGTGCCTGGCAATGGGTGTCAGTGCCCCCCCACCCACCCACCCACCCCGCACAGTGCATGAAGTTTGCAGGCCAAAGGCATGCAGTTATGCTGCAGTGGACTGCTACCCCATCCAACGCGCCCCCTGTCTGCCAGGGATGAACACAAGTGCTTTCCTCCAAGAACCAAGACCTCAGAGTGAATTTCTATCCACGCCCTATGTCACTGCACTGGACAGAAAAATCAGCACGATTAGATTAAATCGAGAAATGAAAATGACATATGTTTCATCTTTCCCCTCCCTCTCTTCAGAGCAGGCAGATAAGATAAAAGGCTCCTTGTACAACAAGATGCTCCTTCAAATAAACTCCAGAATGATCTTGGTTCTCATTAAAAAAAAAAAAAACCCCAAGGGAAAGAAGTGTTTCACATCACAGAACCAGCTGAGGAACAAATGGTCTCTTTCTCAGCTCCCACGTGACCATATGTGCCTCCATGTCGATTTTGTGTGATCAAGATGTTTTCAATCTAGCCACCCTCACCCCAAGAAGCAGGTAAACAGCGCATCAGATTGACACGGTCAGCCGAACAGACCAGAGCCTGTAACCATCGTAAAAGGATACAGATACCAGGAAAGACAGACCTGACATTTAAATCATATGACTTTGCGTAAGAAATATGCAAATTTCACTGCCGTGACCCCGCCCCCAAAAACTACATTTTGCATGATTGACGGCCGAGTTCAAACTCAATTATCACCATGCAGAGAGATCCTGACTCGCTTGCTCAGTATTTATAAAAGTCTGGTGTCTCAGGAGACAGACAGTGAAAGGAGGTCAGCTCAGGAACAGTGTGTACATGGACCAGCTACACACAACACATTCCCCCTCAAATCATAAAATAAAGCAGCAATCACTTTTGCTAAGGGCTGACGGCTCTGAGGTCGAGCCGAGGCAGTTGTGGGTGTGAACTCGATGACAGGAATTACAGCAACGTCAAAGTGAGTCAAGGATCCTCCGTCACATTTTTCTACGCTAATCTCTGCGGATAAAACCGCAGGTGCTCAACAGGAAGCAGGCAGCGGAAGCGGATTTGCACACAGCAAGGAGCAGAGTGTCACACAGGTCTACAGTCTACGAGCACACGTGTGTGTTAATTGAGATCTCGTTTCTGCAGTTTATTGAACAAACTACCCATAACCGGGGAGAGGACAGTAAGGAAAAACAACCCTGGAGGCGAGAGTAAACCCAGCTTCCGTCAGCATCCAGGTCGAGGTCGCCTCGGGGGCAGAAACCCCCCAGGGCAGCTCAGCCCTTCAGCAGAAAATGATGATGATACGTCACAGCCAACACCCGCATCGCTCGTAAAACTTATGAAAGAACTCCCAGACCAGCGTGAAGAAAGCAGGAGTGCTTGTAACCAGTAACCAGTCCTGATAGCATGAAAGTACAGCCCAAACACCTGGTGAACTGTCCCAGGTCTGTTAGCAGTAACAGAAGCCCATAGAAAACAGAACAATAAACATGTATGCGATTCTTCTTTGTGCTCTGTCCTAACCGATGTCGTGACTTTCATTTGGATACGAGCCTTTTATTTTGTCTGATGCCGGTTGACAGTCTACCTGCCCCCAGTCCCCTGCTGCTACCCCGATCGCGCCAGAGGGCAGGTTTCCCATTTACCAATAATTATTTCGGGTGACACCTAAGCATCCCACCTGAGCACGTTTGTTTTTCTATGTAGCATTTTCCGGTAGAACCAGAAAGGCTGCCTTTAAAATTATTATGCACTGAAATCACCCAAAGGTCCTGCTACGTAAACACGCCAAACCATTCAACATACCTAATGTAATCCAGATTATCGCACAAAACACGCACAGGACACCGCTTCAGTCACACAATAAAGGTGCTGTACAAATCTCACATCCAAATTTAAGGTTTAATGTACCTTAATGTAAGGTTTAATGTACGGCTTCATCACACATCGACGAAACCTTGTTTGATCAAGATATAAGACGCAAAAAGACGTAACTGTACATCGAATAGTACACACTCAAAGTGAAAGCTGACAAATTATTGAGCATTTATGTCATTGCTCTATTCAGTGCCACATACTTAAGACAATAATGACAAGAGGAATACGAGCTGCTTCGCTCACGAGAATGTATGGGATGGATAAATTTAATACCGAAGACATCAGTGTACATTAAGCAGAACAATATGGCCATCGAGTAACCAGATAGGGCTGGTTAGACACTGGAAACATGCATCACATGAAATTCTATCTCAAGTCCTTGAATTATGACCAAAGTGTTACCAACTGGAGCCGGAGAAAGTGCCCAGGGACCCGAAATGCCTGCGAAGAATGCTTTACAATCATACTAGCATATATATATGCGCGTGAGACAGTTGGATTGGGACTGCGGGGAAATCAGCGATTCGGACAGTTGGCTTGGCTTCTCTGACAGGGGGATTGTCGTAGTTTGTCTGGCCATCTATCACCTGACTGCTCTCTGCCCCTCCATCCATCCATCCATCCATCCATCAACCCATCAACAAATCAGTCAGAAGATTAACGACCAAGTGCATTGACATTTGATTTGATACACTTCAGTCATTCCGCTCATTGGGTACAGCCATTTATTAAAATAACAGGATCCATAACTTACCCACATACACAAACTACAATCAGGCACAGTAGCACAGCGCCCAACCGCCTCTTCATCATCTTCCACATGGGACCAACATTCTCGCTGTTTTCGCTTATTTCACTGCGCGCTGGGCGATAAATAATCCCACCGTATAATGAGCTGCGACGAGCCACTTTGAGCCCCCGGCGAAATTAGAAAACAAATCCCCCTATCCCAGAAACAGCTAGCGGATAAGCTAGCGAGCTAAGCTACCAAGCTCAGAAATGCGCGACAGGCAGCATCGATCTGATATGCAGGTCCGCTCTGCACTCGATTCCGATGTCTGTCGTCGAGTGCGTCCTCTCGTTGCCCAATAGGAAGCCTCCGACACTTCCGCCTTGCGTACGTAATTACCCATGTTCCCGCCCACCGCAGAGCTTGCCAGCGATGAGCTGGAACTTTTGACATTGAGCGGCTGAAGTAAGTTAATAAACTGCTGCGAAATGATATACAGCCACGTTGTATGGTTACAGAGTTATGCCCAGTCGCTGTGAGACTGCGGACTATGTGGTCCAAAAAACTCTATAAATATCAATAAAACAATATACAAATTCCCTCATTTATTGAACGTATGTATATATAGAGCTTAATAGCGCATTGATATTCTCACAATCAAATGTATCTTACTGAATTTATTTCCACTTTTGTTTTGGGGAAATTGGAAAGCAATAGTCAGTGATTGGGTTTATTTAAATTTTTTCCACTTTGAATATGGTTACGGTGGACGGCAGGTAAAGCGAGCTTGGATTTGCTGAATACTTATGTTACAGCAATAATAACGTTGCTTGTCTAGATGGGCGTTGGTACGGATATGTTTATATTGTATTCTTGCAGCTTCTGCCACATTTTCTCGTGCAAGTTGAATTGTCTTGAGGGGGTTAAGGGCCACTGCTGGCAACGCTGTGGCGATCTCAAGGGCTAATTTATTAAACACACAACATCCATTAATAATTCACGTACTCCAAGTGGAGACTGCTTGAGTTATGTGCTGTAGAAAAGGTCTTAGAATTCATCCTGGCTCATGCAGAGTCTTAATTAGGTGAACCGTGTTTCCTTTCGGTGACACAGAACAGTCCCTTCCATCTCTTTGTTGATGTCTAGGGTGATTTCACAGGTCATATACTCATGAGGTCCCATACTCATGAGGTCCCTGGTGAACAAACGTTCATCAGACTAATGGAATTAAATACTTTTCATAATTTTGCTACCATCTTTAGTTTTTGTTTAATTCAGCGAACTGAGCAATGAGGGAAATATGATATACAGTATTTAATATACAGTATATAATGTACTTTACCTTGGGTAAAGTTCAGCTTAATTTACCATGGAACCTATAATATCTGGTATTATTTTTAGTTTGGTTTACATTCCATTTTAATCTTTTACTACTTTTCTCACTGACTGCAACTGTTTGCTTCATTCCTACTTGGGTTAAATTAAACGTAAAGAGTTTTAATGCTGTTACCGAATTTATTTGAAACAAGAACATGTGTTTGTAATATTTAATATTTTCTAATAAAACGCAGTAAATTTGTACAACTTTCTTTTGTAATTCTGCTGTCGTAAGATAGACCGATGTTTAATGTTTCATCTACGGAAACATTGTTTTCCACAATACAAAATTGAACCCAGGTCCTTAAGCACTACCGTTAATGCACAGCATCTACAAGGAAAGGTAATTTATAGTAGTAATAACGCGCGGCAGTTTAATCTTGTATTTACACAAGCGTGCTGTTATGAAATGATTAAATATTTTTATGCATGCTGATCTGAAGGTATTTTATCAATGGCAGCAGTTTGAAACTCAATGGCTCCATCTACTGGCTAACAACCGTACCACTTGTATCCTGCAAAGCAAGTATCAAAAGAGACGCGCGAGGCCTTTGTAAATGCCAGTCTATCACAGGGCACGTAAACACACACCAAGGGAAATTTAGTGAAACCAGATATCCTAAATACATGTCTCTGGGCTGGAGGAAGGACTCTTTTCCACACGCACGTGCAGGCATACCCTGGAGGCGGGATCAAACCCTTGACCATCTTGACTAAATAGCTTCTGGATTTCCCTTTGTCTTGATTTGGAGGACTACACGATGGCTATGTATAAATGTAGATTTCGTACTTTATTTCATTAAGAAGGTTTGTGGGGACAGATGTCTCAGTGGCTGTTGTATTTCTGAGATACACTATAGAGAAGGGTCATCAGTTCAGGAATGCTGTTTATAATTTTTCGGTTTGCTTAAAAAAAAAAACAAAAAACAGTAAGATCCAACCCCAAAAAAAGAATCCCACCATATTCGAGAGGCTAAATATAACAGATTCACTTTAGCTGAAGAAAGTGAAAGGCATGGACAAAAAAATGTAAAGATTCATGAGTGAAATTTCATGAGTCACTGCAGTCAAACAGAGTCAAGAAAGCCTTTAATAAGAGATGTTATGAACTGGCTTTTGCATACCTACAGTCTAGAGACTGGACGGAGGAGAGGCTGATGGGACTGAGGAGGGCCAGACCGTCCTGTTCTAAGCGAGGACAACTCCAACAACACGTGGTATATAGTGGAACATATTGGCATGGTGATCCTGGAACTTATGTTACCATAGTGACAAGAGTCAATACCTCCCCTACACCCTGGGGGGTTGACCCCCTGTGAGATGAGGATCATGTGACCACAGTTTTCTGAATTAATATGTTGCATCTGGTCCCACCTGCTGACTGGTATAAATCAGGTGTGTTGACTTTGTTACAGCCCCAGTACTCCAGGCTAGAGAGTTGACTTTGGACCAGTACAGTTCTGGGTCCTGCGTCGTCACCCACATTGAAAATATTATTTTAGTTGACCCTTTCTCAGTTAATCCAGCCCCCTCCTTTTTACTCCTGTGATGCTCTCACCCCTGTTCTGATTCGTCCGTTTGGTTGTCATGTGGCTCTGGTCCATGTCACCGCTGTACTTTACATCGGCTCATAAAAAACACAGTCGAAGCCAGCTGTAAATGCAGCATAAGCCACACACACACACACACACACACATACACACACACACAGCAATATGAATAAGCAGCAGTGGCTCCTGGGCGTTCATATTATTTAAGAGTTTGGGCATGACATCTTTAGGTCACATGACCTCCCCAAGCAGAAACTGGTATCCAGTTAAAAGTACAGTGGGGGCGGCACATTGGGAATGGGGCATGCGGGGGCGACTTGGGGGTGGGGTGGGGCCCTGGGTAGGTCAGAGTGGGCTGGCTGGGAAGAGGAGGAGTGTAAGAATGGGGAGGGGGGCACAAACGTGGAACAGTGGGTAAAGCTGGCAGGGGGAGAGAATGGAAAAGAATGGAAATGAGTTCAGTGAGAGGGAGGGTTGTGGTTTAGGGTGCATTTTGGGTAAAAAAGAGAAAAACGTTCAATGTTAATGTTAGGAAAGGTATGGAGCTGTGTTATATTGTGGGAGGAGAAGAGGATGGCTTGAGGTGGAGAGAGGGATGGTGAAAAAAAGAAAAGAAGCTCCTTGTGGGGGGGGGGGGTCAGCTTAGCATACTTCTAGGAAAAATCATGTGGGACGCTGATGTTGTCATGGGGCCGTTCATGTGGAGTTAATTATCCGTTAACGATGTACAGACACTGAGAACACAAAGTCAGGGAGATGCAGAGACCTTAACGGCCCTCTCTACCGCCTGACGTGTGGGGGAGGAGGGACGACACATGTGGGCGGGGCTTAGGGAACCCACCCAGGTCTGGTTACCACCGTCGCCCCCCAAGCTGGCAGCCCACAGGAATGTGTGGCTGCATGTGTGCGTGTTTGAAAAACATCAGGAGTCAGCCCCTCTCTGCTGGGCTTCCGGCTCCAATCTGAGTGCGAGGGGGAAAAGTCAGGCAGAAATATTCACAGCACAAACCACCAGGACTGAGCTCTGCTTATTAGAACTCTGTTATTATTTTAGCGGAATCTAAATACTCATGCTCGGCAAGTCCAAACGTCCTAAGGTAGATTTCCAAGGCTGAAGAATCATGCTACTGACGTATCCTATCAGGACTGATTTCTAGAAATGTAGTCCGAGAATCCAATTAATAAAGTGGGTTTCACCATTTCACTCTTTAATCCGGTTAATCGAAGTAAGATGCTGACACAAATTTAAGGAAAATTATCACCCCTTTTTACCATGTGCAGCTCAGCGGGAAGCCCTGAGCCAGAAATACTTTTCACAGGGAGTCCGGCGTAGGTCCATCTTGGACTGACCAGGGGGTTCAAACCACAAATTTTGGGGGGGGAGGTTCAAATTCACAGATTCAAACCCTGTGGTCAGTGGAGTGATTTCTCTATTGGACCCTGAGCAAGGTCCTGACCCCCAGCTGCCCTAGGGACAGTCTGTCCTGACCCCCAGCTGCCCTATGGACAGTCTGTCCTGACCCCCAGCTGCCCTATGGACAGTCTGTCCTGACCCTCTCCATTGTACATTGCTTTGAATAAAAGCATAACCTAAATTAATGTAAATGTTTCGATTTCCAGTATTTTCCATGTAATGTATACGAAAAAGTGGAATTTGCGCTCCACTAGTATGTACATCCAGTTGTGGGGACTTTAGTTGTTTTTCTCTGAATGTTCACCTGGATCCTGGGAGGGAAGACCGGGCACCCAAGGGGGCAAGAGGGCATTGGAAGTGCTATTCCAGCTGACAAGGGGAAGAAGCAGGGGAACGTGGATGTGTTCAGCAAATCTTTTTATGTGCAATACCTGTTTCTACCAGCAGGTGGTGTGATGCTTAAGTAGGTGGACATTGAAGTGCATGTGCAAATCCCAAAACAGCTGCCTTATAGTTAAACAAGGTACTTTCTCTGGATATGGATAAAGGCATTTTGACAAGAAAACCATGCACACTCATATTTTATATGTATAAATATATATGCTGAGTGCTGAATCAGCTGTAATCTGGAAATAATAAATACTGAAGATATCAGCAAAAAATCATTTTTCTTCCCTTGGGAATAGTCAGGAACACAAAAAAAAGTTATTTTGTAAATGTTCTCTGCCCAGGACCTGCACTGGGTCCATGTAGCAGCTGTCCATAGGGGGTGGCAGAGACAGTGTGAAGTCACTAAGGGTGAACAGCGCCCCCTTCAGGATGTGGGGCTTGTAACAGTGAGGTACCCAATTCTCTGTACCTGCCATTCCAACTGCAGGTCCGGGAAGAGGAGTGGTAAGGAGTACAGTTCTGATCCTCTCTCCACCTGGTGCCAGCCGCAAAAACCTGGAGACAGA